TTGATAGGTAGAAATCATTTTATATACCAATTTGAATACAATATAAGCATTTCTTAGGATGCTACATAGAATTGATTTGCATTCTTTTAGTGGATATACTAGTAAAATGATCCAGCCATTCCCTTACTTATTACACATTTCCCCATTTCCCCTGTCTTTTAAAATACTTCACTAAGAGATTCGCAAGATGGCGGCTGGCAGGACAGCAGTGAGGGAGAGGTTGTGAGTGAGGGAGGGAGTGAAAGGGGTGTGTGTGTGCCTGTGTAAGTGAGGGACAGTTACATCCTGCGGGAGTGTCAGGGGCTGGCAGACCGGGCTCTCCTGGATGAGGAGCCCCTGCCACTGCTGCGGGCACTCCCCGGGCTGCAGGGCTTGGCAGGGAGCCCACGCTATCTTGAAGGGGAGAGTGGCCTCCACAAGGAACCCAGCCTTGCCTCCACCAAGACTGGCCTTTGACACTGCCTGGGACCCTGAAGCCACTCCAGACAGTCATACAGCCTCGCCCGCAGACCTGCAGACCCCAGGACGTCCACCTCCAAGGGCTCATGGCTCCCTCAGCAGAAACCACAACTCCCCACTCCCTGGCGGCCAGCGTCTGGACACCGCAGCTGCGCAGCTTCAGTGCATGGGCCCGCGAGCCCACCTCCTCAGCAGGCAGCTCCTGGGACTCTCTGTGAGCTGCCAGTGGGCGTGTGTCTCTCCAACCAAGGGCACACAACTCCCCCAACAGAAACTACGACTTCCCACTCCCTGGTGGCTGGCGTCTAGACACTGCAGTGAGCTACTAAGGGCTCACATATCCGGACAAGGTCACGCTATTTCAGCCACAGACTCTGAGATTCCTGCATCCCCAGCCGTTGGCTCCTGGACCCCCTCATGATTGGCAGAGTGAAATCACCCTGGCCAGAGACCCACTGCCTCATCCACAGACTACAGGATAGCTGCCTCCTACTGTCATGGGCTCCAGGAACTTCACAGTGATTTGCAGAGTGATGCTACCCCAGCAAAAGTCACACAACACTAGCCAGAGTCGCACTACCTGAGCCTCAGGCCCTGAGACCACTTTCTCCCAGGCTATGAACTCCAGGATCTCACAGTGAGCGAACTCCAGTGAGACCTCAGGCAACCCTTTCCACAAGAGCTGGAACCACAAGCACATCTACAACAGCTTGCACGTCAAGGCCAGGGGTGAGTCACATTTCAGACAGCCTATGATCAGACTTCAACCACAAATGAGAAACTAACATTCAAGACCCAACTACATCAGGAGAACCCAAATAACTCAAGTAGTGGGCTCCACTAGAACACAAAGCTCAGGAGATCTGAGAGACTATACCACTGGGTCCCAAAAATCACCAACTACATAGGCCAACCCCCAAAAGAACCTGGGTAACAAAGCAGTTGGATCTAAGACATAGAAATAATTAAAACATTACAGAAAAGTGGGGAGACAAAGAAAAAATCCCCAAAGGAAAGAAAAATAGGATCACCAGAAAAGGAATTAAATGAAATGAAGACAAATAATTTGTCAGAGAAAGAATTAAGAGTAATAGTTATAAGGATGCTCAAATGTCTGGATGACAAATGCATACAAATCAATGAGAATTATAAGGAGCTGAATGAGAATTTGACCAACATGATAAGGAATCAAGAGGAAATGAGGAATGACATAGCTTCAATAAAGAACACAATGGAAGGTTGATTTCTGTGGAGGTGTGCAGTAAATGCCAGAAGGCTTATCATGGAGAGCGTGAAGGCCTGCTGAGGACTGGCTGACAGGCTCCCCTGGCCGGGCAGCCTCTACTGCTACTGAAAACTCTCCTGGAGCAGCCGACTCTGCCGCAGTGACTGTGCCATCTTGAAGGGGAAGCCTAGTCTTACCTTCAACTGGGGAGACCTCAGATACCTCCCAGGACCCTACAATCACATGCCCAGAGACCAGCTGCCTCAGCTGCGAACCCAAGAACACCAGGACTACAGCCTTCTCAACCGTGGGCACCTAAAGGGTCTGTCCAGGGGGAGAAAAAGGGGCATGAATACATGGACAAACCCTGCGTCTTCTCACAGAGCAGATAGAAGGAACAGCTGAATCAAGTAACACCCACCCAGAATTGGCAAATTAAACACGGCTGGTGAGGCAATCCGTGGATGGAAAGGTCAGATATCGCCCAGAGCAGTGGTTCTCAACCTTGGCTGCACATTAGAATCACCTGGGAATCTTTTTAAAATCCTGATTTCTGGGCC